TATCCCAACAGATGGGCAATAAATAACTGTATTTCCCACTTGTATTAAAAATAATGTCTCAGTGGCATTTGATTCTTCCTTGGGCTGTCCATTTTTCCCATGAAGTGCTTGAGCTGCTCACTCTGCATCCATTTTGCTAAACTGAAAACATTTTTTTTTCTCTGCACACCCAAACAGTGCAGCCCAATAACTCCACTTGGGAATTTTTTAGGTTGGAAAAGTCCAAATTCTCCACTTTCCATCGAGCCTGACAAGATCTTGTGCACCTTTGTGGATAAATGCAGATGGGGGCTACCAGCATTAGAGCTGGATTTTAATTTAATAAAAGAGCAGAGAGCACAGAGAGGGGTTTGAAAAATTAAATTGCTCTTGATGTCAGTAGTAAATCCCAAGTTTATTATGGAATTTCATGGTTTTCTACTCTGTTATAGCAGGAATGTTTCTTAGTTAGGGGATATTTTTCTTCGTGGTTTGCTCTTAACAGGTGAACAAAACTGGCGAAGTTTTGTTTTTCTTTGAGCCTCACTTTAAACTGTGAGCATTTCAGACTGAACTTTAACAATATCTTCTCACCACATTAAAAAAAAAAAAAAGAAAAAAAAGAAGAAGGCAAACCATCAAAAACGACTTACCAAAGTGCAAAGCCACCGCAGGAAGCACATGACACATCTGGGGCGGGGTTCAGGTGCTCTGCCCTTCTCGCAGGAGCTGTTGACCCCAGAGTCAGAACCTTTGAGGGCTTTTAGGGGGGATCTAATGGTGGGTGACATTTATTTGGAAAGCAGCTCGAGTGTAAGAGGTGCCGCTATTTCAGTTTTGTTTTTCTCAGGGAAAGTTGGGGTTGGTCCTTGCCTTTAGGAATTCCTGCTCCGTGGGAGGAGCTGGGATGTGCTCAGAGCTTCTGCTCGGCTCCAGTGCACGGTGGGGCTGGAATAAAGGGATTTTTTTGTTCCTCTTCTGTCCCACAGAAATTTTGTTCTTCTATTCTAAAGGAATTTTGTTCCTCTTCTGTCCCAAAGGAATTTTTCTCCTCTGTCCCAAAGGAATTTTGTTCCTCTTCTGTCCCAAAGGAATTTTGTTCCTCTTCGGTCCTAAAAGAATTTTGTTCCTTTTCTGTCCCAAAGGAATTTTGTTCCTCCTCTGTCCTAAAGGAATTTTTCTCCTCTGTCCCAAAGGAATTTTGCTGCTCCTCTGTCCTAAAGAAATTTTGTTCCTCTTCTCTCCCAAAGGAATTTTGTTCCTCTTCTGTCCTAAAAGAATTTTGTTCCTCTTCTGTCCTAAGGGAATGTTGCTCCTCTGTCCCAAAGGAATTTTGTTCTTCTATTTTAAAGGAATTTTGTTCCTTTTCTGTCCCAAAGGAATTTTGCTGCTCCTCTGTCCCAAAGGAAATTTGCTGCTCCTCTGTCCTAAAGAAATTTTGTTCCTCTTCTGTCCCAAAGGAATTTTGTTCTTCTATTCTAAAGGAATTTTGTTCCTCGTGTCCCAAAGGAATTTTGTTGCTCTTCTGTCCTAAAAGAATTTTGTTCCTCTTCTGTCCCAAAGGAATTTTGCTGCTCCCCTGTCCCAAAGGAATTTTGTTCTTCTATTCTAAAGGAATTTTGTTCCTTTTCTGTCCCAAAGGAATTTTGTTGCTCCTCTGTCCCAAAGGAATTTTGTTCTTCTCTTCTAAAGGAATTTTGTTCTTCTGTTCTAAAGGAATTTTGCTCCCCTGTCCCAAAGGAATTTTGTTCTTCTAAAGGAATTTTGTTGCTCCTCTGTCCTAAAGGAATTTTTGCTGTTCCAAAGGAATTTTCCCTGTTGCTGGCTCCTCCCTGAGGCCAGGTGACCTCCCCGTGTGCGGTGGCAGCGAGATGATTTTGAAGGTCCCTTCCCACCCAAAATCTGATTTTTTTGTGGTGGGGCTGTTGTAGGGGATGAACAGTTTTATTCACACGGTACTGCCCAGCACAGAAAAGCTGGAGTCTCCATGTCATGCTAAGGGAAAAATTCAGGAAGAACATCTGGAATTCAGCTGGATTGGAGGGGTTTGGAGGAGTTTTTCCCAGCTCTTTGTTAGGGTGGGATGTGGCATTTCCCGGGTTTCATTCCTCGTTTCGTTCCTGCTCTGCTCATTTGCAGCAAGGACGAGTTGAGAACATTTCTCACAGCTTTGGCTTGGCCACGCCTCGGCTGCTCGCTCGTTTTGGTTTATTTCTCCCGAAAAAATCGGACACCGTCAGAAATCTCTGGCTGCTGGCCTAATAAATTAATAAATCCGTGCTTGTTTTTCCTAAAAAACATGGGGATTTTTTTTTTTTTTTTCCCTAAAAATCTGGTGAAACGTGGGGTTCCCTTGTTTGGGAGAAGCAGTGGGGTACAGACAATTCCTTGGGAATTATCTCAGGAATTATCCAGAGGTGCAGGTGCCAGGATGGCACATCTGGAATTTGGGGATCAGCAGTGGGGTTCAAACAATTCCTTTGGAATTCTCTCAGGAATTATCCAGTGACTGTTGGGTTTATTGTGCAGCAGAGGGATCAAACAATTCCTTTGGAATTTTCCAGTGGTGGAGGTGCCAGGATGGAACATCTGGAATTTAGGGGTCAGCAGTGGGGTTCAAACAATTCCTTTGGAATTATCTCAGGAATTATGCAGTGGTTCTTTGTAATTTTATGGAATGTTTATATTTGAATATAACAGATATCTTTATGTATTTTATATTTATATAAAATATTAATATAAAATATAAATGCTTGGGGAAGTGGAATCTCAGGAAGAGCCATCCTGCATTGCCAAAAATATTTCTTCCACTGGGACAAACAGAAATGAAGTGAAATTAAAACAGACCTGAAAAACTTTAAATTTTAAAATTTTTATTATGTAATATTACACACTTTTATTTAAACTACACAGTTACAATTTTAATTTTATTACTTAATTTAAAAAACTTTTTATTCACAACCTTAAATCAAAACCAATATTTTTTTTTAATTAGTACTTGTTAACACAAAAAAACCCTTAAAACTCTCAATTTCCAAAATTCCAACACACCTCCAATGTTGTTATTAATAATAGTTTAACTTTTAATAACAACAACAATAATGATAACAATGATAATGATAATAATGATAATGATAATAGTGATAATAATTGTAATGATAATAGTGAAAATAGTGATAATAATGATAATAATGGTAGTGATAATGATAATAGTGATAATAATGATAATGATAATAGTAATAATAATGATAATAATGATGATAATGATAATAATGATAACAGTGATAATAATGATAATAATAATAATCTCAAGAAGAGCCATCCTGCATTCCCAAAAATATTTTGGAAGGTGCATCACAAAGAGCTGTTCCCACTGGGAGAAACAGAAATGAAATTAAAATATGCCTGAAAAAAAAAAAAAATATCAAATATTGTGCTGTCCATGAGCACATCCCTGTCATCCTTGGAGGAGAGAAGAGACCAGAAAATCCACAAATAATAATTTGGGAGGCTCTGAGGCAAAGGATAAAAATCTCATTTCCCAGATGGAGCATTTGAGTGTGTAGGGCTGGTGAAGATGCTCAGACAGAGCAGGAATTTGTCTGGCTCAAAAAAAAAAAAAAAAAAAAAAAAAAAAAAAGACTTTTTGGAAGATGCAGAAGCATTTTTCAAAGGTGAATCCCTGACAATGAGAATGGCTGGGAAAGCCATTAGGAAATAATAGAGTTTGGATATTGGATTGTTTGGTTTATCCCCAGAAGGTTTTAGAAATGAAGCAGCACTTAAAGGTTTTTAGGATTCTGGGAATTGTTGTGACTAAAACCAAGAGTAGGAGCTTTTAAAGCAAAGCAAAGCAGCTCTGTTGAAAAACAAGAATTTGATTTATGAATCTGTAAAAGGCAGTGGTTTTCTATTCCCCCTCACATTTTAAAACATCTGGACAATCTTTTTTAACATTAGGCCCACACAGACATTACAATATATTGAGCTGGAGTGATCTGTCATTTAAAAGGGGGTGGTTTTAATGAGATTCAAATTAATATATTTCACCTTTTGAGTTTTGATTTTATGGTGCTGTGCAAAAATAATTCCTGACTTGTCTGCATATCCCAAAAATCAGGCTCTCAATGACTTCTTCCCCATATTGCTGCCAAGGGAATGTGTTTAGAGACTCAAATTCAGCTTTCAAGTGGCAGGGATGGCAGGAAAATTGAATTTAATTGGGAATATGTGCCAGAGTCTTCAATATAATTTTTTTTTTCTGGGGTAGGATCAGGTTTGCTGGGCTCTCCCAGGGAAGTTGTGTGGCTCTGTCTGACTTTTCCCAGATTAATCCTCAGGCTTTTAAATCAATATTTGCTGAAGTCTGCTAGGTCAGATGAAGGCCTCACCCCGGTGAAACAAAAATAATAAATTCACATTTAGTTTGAAAAACGTTTTGGCAGAGATGCTGGAGGAGGGGAAAAAGGAAGGATGGAAGGGGAGGAATGTTTCAGGTGAGTGATGGCTGAGATCTCCCAAAGCAGCAGCACTGTCAGGTTCAGTTTGGAAACTTTTGGGATGAAAATCTGGGATCAACAGAGAGCAGGGAAGAATTGGGATTAATATAATAAATAATAAAATAATAAATAATAAAAAATGTCAGGAATGGAGGCATGGAGGAGGTAAAACTCAGAGGGAAATGTTCCTGTGATGTCATTGCTCAGGCTTGTGATGAGAGCAATTCCAAACTGAAAATAGGGGGAAAATCCAGGGAATGACCAAGGCTTTCCCTGTTTGGGTTTTTTTTTTTTTTTTTTTTTTTTTTTTTTTGTTTCATCTCAGTCAGTGTCCCCACAGTGTCAGGAGGGATCAGTGGATGTGCCCAAACTCGTGGCTGGATCCTGGGACTGCCTTTGGCTGAGACCAAATCCAGATCTCAGTTATAAAAAAGCTTCTCTGGGATTGCAGGTGGAATTTTATCAGCCTGACCATTTCAGTTGTGCCTCAAACTGTACTAAGCCATTCCTAAAAATATTTATTTTTCCTTTTTTTTTCAGTCAGAGTGAAGTTTCTCCTGGGGAGAGTGAAGACCCATTTCAGTTGTGTAGAGGATCCCACAGGCACATAAATGCAGGTGTGTTGGCTTTTGGGGGTTCATTTTTAATTTGTTTTTTTTTTGGTGGAAGGATTAATTTCATAAACTATAAAATTGGTGGTTTGGGCTTTTGTTGTTTTTTGAGCTAAAGCTTAGAAAAACATGGAACAAAGAACCCAAATAACTCAAATAACTTTCTGCTCTTTTTATTTAAACATTGGGTATGAAATGCAATTTTCTTTTGAGTCAGAGCTTCCCTGTTGTGCATCCTTGGCAATCTAAAAGCTCTTACATTAAACCTCCACAGTGCTCCCCTTTTCTCTTGGAGAGACAAGAGGAGCAGTAATAAAAAAAATAAACACCAATAAATCTTATAAAATACATCATGACTCATAAAGCATCAGCACTTTCAAACACAAAGGGTGAGAGGGGAGAAAACAATGAGAAATATTTTGCCGTTAAGGGGCTGTAAAAATAGAAGCCAACTTTTCTTTTTTTTTTTTTTTTTTNGCTCAAGTGTTGTTTTCCAGCCAATTAGGTGCTGAAGGATGTGAAAGTTCTTTGTGCTTTGAGAAGAGAAACCTTTCAGAAAAGCTGTGGAACCACCAGAAGACAAAAGGGACTGATTTGGAGCAGAGTTCCCAGAATCACAATAATCACTGACATTTCTTTTTTTTTTTTTTTTTTTTTTCCCCACCCTCTTTTTCACCTCTTTGGTTTGGAATAAATCCCCACCTGAGAGTTTTGAGAATTGTGGTGCCCCTCAGAGCCAGCAGGGATGGATTTGTGTGCTGATAATTCCAATTCTTTTCTCCCTCCACTCCCAGTATCTCAACGTAAAAGAAGATTGCAAAGCCATGGCTTTCTGTGCAAAAATGAGGAGCACAAAGAGAAATGAACTCAACCTGGAAACTCAACACCAGGGGCTGGAAATCCTTTTCTACCTGCAGGACAAAGCCCCCATTTGTTACTCCAGTGGCGAGTTCACCTCGGAGGAGCTGTGCATCGAGGCTGCCCAGAAATGTTGTGAGTATTTGGATTTATTTCAGTTGATTTCAGTTGATTTCAGTTGATTTGTGAGGAATCCTCTGTGTGTCAGTCCCAGGAAGAGCCACCCTGGACCAATAAATCCCCACAAAGTTGCTTTGAGCTCCTGTGCATCCCTCACATGTCAGGGGCTGTGGGCTCAGCAGAATTCCTGGAATTGCACAGGAAATATGGATTTCATCTCTGTTTGATCTCACAATCCAGTGGGATTTTAGATTTACAGTTCTGAGGTTCTTTCCCCATGGAACACCAAATGTTATACAGGGGAATTGGGCAGCAATTTTCCTGCAGCTCTCAAATATTTTCTTTGCCCACATCACCTGGATTCTTGTAATTCCCTTCAGCTCCTTTTTCTAATTGCTCCTCTCCCATGGGAATGGGTGAAATTACATAAACCTCATCAAATGAGTGCTGATGTTATTTTTTTAAGAGTTTTAAGGAAAGTGGAACCACTTATTTCTGTTGGTGTGCAGGAGCTGCTTTTTGGGGCTGTGACCAATTCCCAGAACTGGAGCAGGGAATTGAGGCACATCTGTAAGCACAGCACAGGTCTGGGATGGTGAAAATGCAAAATTAAAGCAGATCAGCCCATTGATATCAAAATGTGTTCTTAGCCCCTCTGTGTTATGAACAAAACTTTCTGCTTGTTTGCTAAAACCTCATTTCACCTCCTGGAGGTTGAATTTATTCATAAAATAAAGCTGAGAACAAAGTTGTGAGTTTGGTAAAACTGCCATTCCTGTGACCTGGACAAAATGAAGTTTTTCAGTAATTCCCTTGAAGCTCAAACCTTGTGCAAAATCAGGATTTGAGAATCACTTTAACAGCAGAAATATCTTTTTTTTTAATCCACCCCAAACCCCATGGGCTGAACTGAGGTGACAGCTCCACCTCAACCTTTCCTCCCTAATATTTGCTCCAGTCTAATCCCAGTATCATTTGCTTTTCATGATCCAATATTTGCTTTATTCCATTTGTGTTTTGGGCTGTGGGTGTGCACTGGAGCCACTGGTGATTCATCCCTTTGTGTATTTTTGTGCCAGCTGTGTCCCCTCTGTGCCACAACCTCTTTGCTCTGTATGATGAGAACAAAAAGCTCTGGTATGCACCAAACCAGGTCTTCAAAGTGGAGGAAAAATCATCCTTCAGGCTCCATTATCGCATGAGGTAAGAGAAAAAAACCTGGAAAATTGAATTTATTTCTTCCTGAGCTCCCTGAAGAAATAGGAAAACAAAATCAAAAGCAGCAGGAGCTTCCAATATCTCCTGGTTTCTTTGTATCTTGAGGATTTAACCTTAAAATAAAAAAATTAAAAACCAGGAGAAGTTGTTTTCACAAAGCTGGGAGTGAACAAGGTCAAAGTGAATTGGAAAATTGGTTCCAAACCACTGGGTTTTGTGTCAGGGATGAATTCCCATCTCAAGTGTTGCAGTTCCCACTGAAATCAGTGGGAATTTTACTCTTCAAAGGAAAAAGCAGCAGGTTCTGGCTTTTGGAATTCTCCAAGACTGCAAAGGATCTGTGGGAAAACATGGAAAAAAATCAAACCAGGAGCCAGGACAACATTCTGCACAACATTATTATTATTATTATTATTATTATTATTATTATTATTATTATTATTATTATTATTATTATTATTATTATTATTATTATCATCATCATCATCATCATCACTATTATTATAATTATCATTATTCTTATCATTAACACTATTATTATTAACAATATTATTATCCTCATTATTATCATTATTACTTTTCTTGTATCAATCTGAGCTTTAAGTTCTCAATATAGGAGGAAAATACCTGAAATAAACTTGACCTGCAGGAATAATTAATCCAGAAACTTCAGGAAATCCACAGATTTCTTAATTCTTCAAGGGACAGCTGTAAGAAAATAACCTTGTGAATAATATTCCACAATTTTCCACACTCTGGGGCACTTTGGGGTGCAGGGAAATGCACAGAAAGGATTCTGCAAAATGGGATTTTTTTGGGTGTTGGATTCCAGACTGGAATTGTTATTGTTGGATGAATTGCTGCAAGGAAAAATGACTGATTTTGCTTTTCAAGTGGTGATAATTCCTATTTTTGGAAGAGGAAGAAGATGCTGGAGTGGTTTTTTTCTTTTTTTTTTTTTTAAATTTCATTAGGGTTATTAATGCCTTAACCCTGGCTGATCTCAGATTTCCCCAGCTGGGATGAGGTTGGGCAGATAAACACCATAAAATAAAATAAAATAAAATAAAATACAATACAATACAATACAATACAATACAATAAAATAAAATAAAATAAAATAAAATAAAATAAATGAGGGTTCTAAAAGGTTTTTACAGAACATTGGGTGCCCTGAGATCAGCCACAGTAACAATACCCTGAATAATCAAAATTTCTGCTGTAATGTCAACCTGGGGAATTCCCCCTGAGCCTGAAATTTTCTGTTTTTCACACTAAAAAAAGGTGATATTTCAAGTGTAATTGTGGAGATTTAATCCTTTGAATTCTTATGAACTTCTAATAAATGAAGAACTTCTGAATTTAATTAATTTTTAAATAATTAACTTTTGAATTTAATGAATGAATGAAGAACTTTTAATTCTTAAAAACCAGTTTTTGCTGTGTTTGGTGTTTGTTTTTCTGCTCTGGGTCAATGATGGGAGGCACCTTCCTTAAAATTGCCTAAGCAGCTCCCTCTTAAAAATCATTTTTGGCTCTTCATAACCCAGGAAGGTGATTTAAGATAATTAATGACTCCAATTCTGTCGTTATTTCCTGAAAATAATTGTGAACAGAATTAATTTATGCTGAGCTTTGCTTTCTGTAATTATTCTGTTGTACCATTTTGTAGAATGGAGCTCTGGAAAAACCCGTGCTTTCCATAATTAAGAGTTCTGGTGGTTTATGATTTGTTTTTAAATATTTTTTTATTATTATTATTTTATTTTTTTTCAGCTTTGGAGTTTGGCAGGGAAATCTCTTTTGTCCCTCGTACTCCATGAATGAAAACTGACAAACTTTGGGCCAAAAAAAAAGGATTTTTAAATAATTTCAAAAAGAGTTAAGCACTAAAATCCAAAGATTCCCATTTTCCCAGGATTTCATCCATGTCCTGGTGGTGTTTTGCTTTATTTCATTTATTCCTGTTGTGGGTTTTAGGTTATGAAACTGATCCTTAAATGAGTTTGGTTTGTTCTGAGCTCTGCCAGGGGCAGAATTCCTCTGGAAAAAGGAAAAAGGTCTGGGCTTTTTAAATAGAGCAATGGAATAACTGTACATGAGGATTCAGAGATGAAATAATTTGGATTTTTGATGACATTGCTGGGTTTTAGTCGTGTCCCTTTTAATGGTGTCTCTAAAATGAATGGTGGGACTGAAATATTTTTTAGGGGTTTGATTTTTCTCCCACTGCTGAGAGTTTTTTGTTTTCTGTGTGAGCTTTTCCTCCTCTGCCCTAAATCAGTGCCAGATGCTGCTGCACTTCCAGTGATGTTTTCAAAGGATTTTTCACAGAAACTTTATGAGCACCCTGTGTTTTTCACACTTGCCTCAAGTTCTTTAAAAACAAAATAAAACAAATAAAAAAAAATATGCTCCAACACGAGAAACCCCAGGATTTTGTAATATCCTGGAGTCATTGGCTCACAGAGGAGGAGAATTTAACTCTTCCATGGCTGGGTTTGTTTCTTGGTGTGGAAAAAGGATCCAATTCCCCCTTCTGGAGGGATTTTGGAAGCAGCTGATCCTTCCAGATCCCTCCCAGCCCATTCTGGGATTAACACAATTTCCTGGAAACTCCGGGGAAAAAGGAAACGAGTGACAAGAGCAACACTCCATGGTCAGGCTGAAATGTAAATCCACCTTCCCAAATAATCCCAAATGATCCCAAATTCTCCTTCCCAGGAATTTGGGGATGAGGAAATTTTGTGCTCCTCTTCCTGTTGTGCAAGTGAAATACCAAAAATCACTCACAGCAATCCATGGAGCTTTCCAAGGAAAAGATTTTCTTTTATTTACTCATCCCTCGAACAATGGGGCTCCAATTATTTTTGTAACTCTTCAGCGGTGTCTTAATCAGAGCAGTTAATTAGGAAAAATTAGGAGCAAATTCTCCTCTCAGTCACAAACAATACACAATACCTTGCCCATAATTATTTCCAGGAAATAACAAAAGAATTGGAGTTATGAATTCCGAGTTCTCTCCTGCAGGAGAAATGGGAAGCAAAGTCATTTCCTTTGGATTTCAGGAGGATTTGCTTTGCTCTGCTCTTCAGGCTTCAGCCCAAGGAGTTCTTGAGCATCTCCTGGTTCTTGTCAGGAGTTTTTTGGCACAGTTTTGGGTTGGAGTTCCTGCCTAAGAAGAGCTGAATTAAAAATATTAATTTGATGTTGCTGAAGATCCTGACTCTGCACTGAGGCTGAGACACTCCAGCCTTGCCCACTGCAGATTTGGGGCTTTAGAAATGTCAATCCCAGACTGGTTTGGACTGGGAAGGACCCTAAATCCCAAATCCCATCCCAGGGACAACTTCCTCTGTCCCAGGCTGCTCCAAGCCTGGCCTTGGACACTGCCAGGGGCAGCCACAGCAAATCTGGGAATTCCAGCCCAGCAAGGAATTCCACCCCAATATCCCATCTAAATCCATCTTCTTTCAGCTCACAGCCACTCCCTGTGTGCTGTCCCTCCCTGCCTTGTCCCCAGTCCCTCCCCAGCTCTCCTGGAGCCCCTTCAGGCCCTGCCAGGGGCTCTGAGCTCTCCCTGGATCCTTCTCCTCTCCAGGTGAACATTCCCAATTCTCCATCTTTCCTCACAGGAGAGGTGCTCCATCTCTCTAACAAAAAAGAAGGAAAAAAAAATAAAATCTAATATTACATAATAATTTGGTCATTTCCCTCCAGGAATGTGCTTGGAATGTCAAATCACTCCAGCTTAAGGCAGAAGTTTTGCTTTGAACTGCTTTGCTTTTCAAAATCCAAATTACCTTGTGGAAACGAAAGCTTTTCCCAAAAAGTTTTTAAAGTTTCTGACTTTTTTTTTTTTTACCAGATACTATTTCACCAACTGGCATGGCACCAGTGAGAGTGAGCCCTCGGTGTGGAGACACTCCCCAAGGAAAGCCAAGGCCTATGACAAGAAGCTGGCCCCAGAGGGAACCCCCATCCTGGATGCCAATTCCCTGGAATACATCTTTGCACAGGTTGGAATTGTCTCTGATACTGCATTCCAATAAAAACTCCGGGGTTCTTATTTAAAAACATCTTTTTAAACTCCTAAAATCCACATTATGTATGCTGTTAGTACTGGAAAAGGGTTTTCTTTGGTGCTGCTGCCTGGTGGAGAAGAGAGAATTTACTGCATGAATGAGGTGAAAGAAACTCCCCCAGTCCAAAAATGGTTTTATTTCTAGATTTTTATTCTTCTAAATTGAATTATTTTTGTGGGATATTCCCACAGAGCTGGGACTTTCTGGGGCTGGAGAGGAGCAGCAGGGCTGGGTCCTTTTAATGAGGGTTTTTTTTGGTTTTTTTTTACTGGGTGGTGCTAAAAGATTGATAAACATTTACTGATAACCCCGTGGTGATAAAGATTGATTGATTGATAAGCTCACTGCAGTTTTCCTCTCCTCTTGTGCCTTCCAAAGGATTTTTTTGAACCAGAATCTGTCAGGTTTCACCAAAAAAAATGGGAAAATTCAGGTTGATCAAAGAGCAAATGGAATGCACTGAGGAAATCTCATTTACTGTTGGTTCTGAGTGGAATCCCTGCAGGATTTTCACACTTGGAAATAAGAGTTTGCCCTTCAAAAAAAGACACAACGTGGAGCAGCTCCAGCAAAATCCTTCTTTAATTGGGAACCCCCAAGGAAAGAGAATTCCAGGGAAATATTAAATCAATAAAGACAGAAATGTCTTTATTCTTTGATAACCAAACACTTTCCAGGCTGTCCCAGAGCAAGATTGGCTTAGAGATAAATCCATAAAATTCATGGAGGCTTTGGATGGAAAGGGCAGAGATAAAGCAGAACCACACAGTTGGTTTTGTGGCTCAGAAAATAAATATTGAAGGTATTAAAAGGGGCCAGAGGTGGTGATTTCTGTAGTTAATTAAAAAAAAAAAAAGAATTTTTGGTGGGCTGGTGTGTAAAAGGAGAGGAGCTTCCAGCTTCTGCTTGCTCAAGGATCCTGGGATGAATTCCTGGCTCAGGGACAAATTTTGGGAATGAGTAAATGGATAAATTGGGGATTTCTGTAGTTAAACTTAAAAAAATGAATTTTTGGTGGGCTGGTGTATAACTCTCAAGGAGAGCTTCCAGCTTGTCCTTGCTCAAAGATCCTGGGACAAATTTTAGGAATGACCAAATGGATAAATTGGGAACTTCTGTAATTAATTTTTTAAGAAATGAATTTTCAGTGGGCTGATGGATAAAAGAATGTGAGGAGCTTCCAGCTTGTTCTTGCTCAAGGATCTTGGGATGAACTCCTGGCTCAGGGCCAAAGTCTGGGAAAGAACAAATGGATAAATTGGGAATTTCAGTAGTTAATTTTTAAAAAAAGTGAATTTTTGGAGGGCTGATGGATAAAAGAAGGTGAGGAGGTTCCAGCTTGTCCTTGCCCAAGGATCTTGGGATGAATTCCTGGCTCAGGGACAAACTCTGAGAATGACCAAGTAGGTAAATTGGGAATTTCTGTAATTAATTTTTTAAAAAATGAATTTTTGGTGGGCTGATGGATAAAAGAAGGGGAGAGAAGCTTCCAGCTTCTCCTTGCTCAAAGATCCTGGGATGAATTCCTGGCTCAGGGCCAAACTCTTGCAATGACTAAAAGGATAAATTGATTTTTTTTTTAATTTTTGTTCTGTTAAGGGCCAGTATGACCTAGTGAAGGGGCTGGCTCCCATCCGAGAGCCCAGGAACGAGCAGGAGGTCCATGAGATTGAGAATGAGTGTCTGGGCATGGCTGTCCTGGCCATCTCCCACGATGCCATCAAGAGGAACATGAAACTGCCTGAGCTGCCCAAGGACATCAGGTGAGCTGGCACCAGTGTGTCCCTGCTGCTGTGCCAGCACAGATTCTCCCAGTTCTCCCAGCACAGATTCTCCCAGTTCTCCCAGCACAGATTCTCCCAGTTCTCCCAGTTCTCCCAGTTCTCCCAGCACAGATTCTCCCAGTTCTCCCATTTTCCCATTTTTCCCATTTTTCCCAGTTCTCCCATTTTTCCCAGTTCTCCCAGTTCTCCCAGTTCTCCCAGTCCTCCCAATTCTCCTCCCAGTTCTACTCCCAATTCTCCTCCCAATTCTCCCATTTTTCCCCAGTTTTCCCAGTCCTCCCAATTCTCCCAGTCCTCCCAATTGTCCCAATTCTCCCATTTTTGCCAGTTCTCCCATTTTTGCCAGTTCTCCCAATTCTCCAAATTCTCCCAGTTCTCCCAGCAGAGATTCTCCCAGTCCTCCCAGTTGTCCCAATTCTTCCAGCCCTCCCATTTTTCCCAGCCCTCCCATTTTCCCCAGTTCACCCAGTTCTTCCAATTCTCCCAGTTCTCCCATTTTTCCCAGTCCTCCCAATTCTCCCAGTTCTCTCATTTGTCCCAGTTGTCCCAGTCCTCCCAGCTGAATCCTTTGTTTTCCCTTCCAGTTACAAACATTACATCCCTGAGACCCTGAACAGAACCATCAGGCAGAGGAATTTCCTCACCAGGATTCGAATCAATAACGTTTTCAAGCATTTCCTCAAGGAATTCAACAACAAAACCATCTGCAACAACAGCGTGTCCCCCCGGGATCTGAAAGTGAAATATTTATCCACCATGGAGATCCTCACCAAATATTATGGGGCAGAGATTTTTGAGACTTCCTTTTTGGTCATTTCTGCTGAGAATGAGATCAGTAAATTGAATTGTGGAGATAATGAGAAATATGAAGTGATGGTGACAGGAAACCACGGGATTCAATGGAGGCTCAAGCCCAGTGTAAGTAACCCTTGAGAAATGGGAATTAAAAGAGGTTTTTTGGGGTTTTTTTTGGGATATAACAGCTGTTAAAAGATGGTTGTGGTTTATGGTTTTATGGGATGACAGAGTTATGGAGGTTGGGAGGAGCTCAGGGAGTTCCAGCCCAAACCCCTTTTTAGGCTTAGCTTTGACATCAGACCAGGATCAGGATTTTTATCCTGAAAAATTCCAGGAATGGACACTGGCAATTCTGTGAAAAACAGTCCAGAATTAAAGAGATTTATTCTGTGTATTGGAATACATTATATTCTATGTTTTTTCTTATTATTCTCTAGTTATATTAATTTTTTAATTCATATTATAATTGTATTCTAATTAATAATGAATTTATATCATTATTCTAGAATAATTTGGTTTAGAGTAAATGTATTAGAATACATTATATCCTATCTTTTCTATTATTCTATAATTTAGATTAATTTTATAATTTATAATTGTATAGTTCTAACTAATAAATAATTAATTTATATTACTCTTCTAGAATGAACTTTTGATTTAGAGTAAATGTATTAGAATACACTATATTTTTTATTTTCTATTATTATTCTATAGTTTATATTAATGTTATTTATATGATAATTCTATTATATAGTTCTAATTAATAAATAATATATATTACTATTCTGAAGTGAATTTTTGGTGTTGAGTAAATGTACATTATACATTATATATTTTCTATTATTATTCTAGAATTTATATTAATGTTATAATTTATATTTTAATTCTGTTCTATAATTCTAATCAAGAATTAATTTCTATTGCTATTTTGTAGTGAATTTTCAGTTTAGAGTAAATGTACATTACACATTATATTGTATTCTATATTTTCTATTATTCTTCTATAATTTATGTTCATTTTATAATTTATATAATAATTCTATGATCTAATTCTAATCAATAATGAATTTCTGTTGCTATTTTATAGTGAATTTTCAGTTTAGAATAAAACCACTGAGCTGAACATATTTCAACTAAAGCTTTTCCCCCAAATCCATTTGCAGCCTGCACAGCCAGAGAAAGAGAAAAAGAAAAAATCCGAGGGCAAAGGCAAAAAAGAGGAAGAGAAGCAGAAAGTTTGGGAGGCTTGGAGCAACTTCTCCTACTTCCCTGAGATCACCCACATCGTCATCAGGGACTGCACTGTCAGCATCAACAAACAGGACAACAGGAGGATGGTGAGGGGGAAAGGGACACTGGGAATGGGGACACTGGGAATGGGGACAGTGGAAATGGGGACACTGGGAATGGGGACACTGGGAATGGGGACAGTGGGAATGGGGACACTGGGAATGGGGACAGTGGGAATGGGGACACTGGGAATGGGGACAGTGGGAATGGGGACACTGGGAATGGGGACAATGGGAATGGGGACACTGGGAATGGGGACACTGGGAATGGGGACACTGGGAATGGGACATTGGAAATGGGGACAGTGGGAATGGGGACACTGGGAATGGGGACACTGGGAATGGGGACACTGGAAATGGGGACAATGGGAATGGGGACAGTGGGAATGGGGACACTGGGAATGGGGACAATGGGAATGGGGACAATGGGAATGGGGACAATGGGAATGGGACATTGGAAATGGGGACAATGGGAATGGGGACAATGGGAATGGGGATACTGGGAATGGGGACACTGGGAATGGGGACACTGGGAATGGGGACATTGGAAATGGGGACAGTGGGAATGGGGACAATGGGAATGGGGACAATGAGAATGGGGACAATGGAAATGGGACATTGGAAATGGAGACATGGAAAATGGGGACACTGGAAATGGGGACAATGGGAATGGGGACAGTGGGAATGGGGACAATGGGAATGGGGACAATGGGAATGGGGACAATGGGAATGGGGACACTGGGAATGGGGATACTGGGAATGGGGACAGTGGGAATGGGACAATGGGAATGGGGACAATGGGAATGGGGACACTGGGAATGGGGACAATGGGAATGGGGGCACTGGGAATGGGGACACTGGGAATGGGGACACTGGGAATGGGGACAATGGGAATGGGGACAATGGGAATGGGGACACTGGGAATGGGGACATTGGG